AACTTTGACATTTTTCATAATGTAAAAGTGATATAGCAACTGATAAGCTTTATGGAACACACAATCCTCAAAACACAATTCCAAAATCAACAAAATACACACACATACAAACATACGATCCTCAAAGAACAATTAAAAAAAAATACACAATTCTCAAAGTATAATTCCAAAATCAACACACACACTATCCTCAAAACACAATTCCAAAATAAAAAAAAATACACACACACACACACAGACACACACACACACACAAACACACACTATTCTCAAAGCACAATTCTAAAATCAACAAAATACACACACACACACACACTATCATTTAAGCATAATTCCAAAATTAACAAAATCTCATAATGTGTTAAAACACACACATTATCCTCAAAATACACACACACAAACTATTCTCAAAGCACAATTCCAAAATCAACAAAATCTCGTAATGTGTTAAAACACACACACATTATCCTCAAAGCACAATAAATCAACAAAAAAAGTGTTAAAACACTTTGAATATTTTAAAAAACACACATTATCCTCAAAGCACAATTCCAAATCAACAAAATCTCATAATGTATTAAAACACACATACACATTATCCTTAAAGCACAATTCCAAATCAACAAAATCTCATAATGTGTTAAAACACACATACACATTATCCTTAAAGCACAATTTCAAAATCAACAAAATCTCATAATGTATTAAAACACACACACACACATTATCCTTAAAGCACAATACCAAAATCAACAAAATATGAAAATATGTTAAAACACACAAAAATTATCCTGAGACAATTTTAAATCAACAAAGAATGTGTTAAAACACTTTGAATATTTTAAAAAACACACATTATCCTCAAAGCACAATTCCAAAATCTCAGTGTTAAAACACACAAAAGTTATCATCATGCAAAATTTCAAAATCTCATAATGTGTTAAAAAAACACATACACATTATCCTAAAAGCATAATTCCAAAATAAAATAAAATCTCATAGTTAAAACACACAAAAATTATCCTCAAACAAAATTTCAAAATCAACCAAATCTCATATGTTAAAACACTTAAAAGGTGTTAAGACATACACACATTATCCTCATATTACAATTCCAAAACCAACAAAATCTCAAAATTTGACACAAAAATTATCCTCAAGCAAAATTTCAAAATCAACAAAATCTCATAAATTAAAACACATATGTACACATCCACAAATTATCCTCAAAGTTCCAAAATCTTTCTCATATGTTAAAACATGTTAAAAAGATCACTTTTCAACTAATCCCACTAAAATCGAAAACAAAATAAGAAAAAATAGAAAATAAAAAAATTGAAAACAAATAAAAATTTATTCTATTTGAAAATCTAATCATGTAAAAATATTCCTTAAATCCTTAACCATTACAAGATGTGATCAGATTTTGGAATAGAGAGGAGAGAAAGAGACATGAATTTGAGAGAGATAACTGAAAATAGAAATGAAGAAGGAGATTTTCGGGCCTTACACACTAAAGGAAAATAAACTATTTCATTAGACTCACTATATTAATCAACTTTGATAATTTTCAATAGCATATCATGAAGCAAAAATATTTTGTGAATGCAGGTGGTCCCTGATTGCAGGAAGACTTCGAGCAAGAACTTCGAACGATGGGAAGAATTACTGGAACATCTACACACGACGTAAATCACACTCTCACAACAAAGATAACAACGTAAAACAGCATGAAGAGACAACCGTAGGTAAAACACCTACCTGCGACGAAAATTACAAACACCACCAAGTTATAAAGCCTGTTCCTCGAGCTTTGTGAAAAACTTGCCCCAAGTTGCTGCAAGGGAAGATTAAAAAAATAGTTCCAAAGTTGGCGTTAGTGAAGAAGGTGCAACTTCTTCATCAAGTTCTGGGAATTGGTGGGAAACTCTTTTAGACGAGAAGGAAGACAATTTTGGAGCGTTTGAGTTTTGGGGTGAAGAGTTTGGTTCAATTTGCTTGTGACTTTCTTACACAAGGTGAAACTTTATTTTTAAAAGTTTTTTTTTTTCCACTTTCTCTCAAACACAATTGCTATTTTTATATATTTTATTTTCTCTAGCATAAAAAAAGAAATAAAGAGCTTTCAATTGAAGGGCACAGAAACTCATGCAAAAACTCACCCAAGAAATTTGGTAGGACATGTGGGAGAAAAAGTCTCAAACAACCATATGCTAAGCAAGCCCATAGCTATCATAGGACAGTTAGCTATTGCCATTTCTCACCTCTTGAGATCTATGCCTGTAATATTCATAAAAGTCAGTTCACTCATCATATAGCACAGTTAATTATATACAGAAAACGAAAAGAAAAGCAAACGGAAGTACATTGTCATGATGTTAAGTAGTGTTACATATTCATTTTCCTCTTCATACACCAGTTTATATTAAGTACAATATATGTACATTTGGATCAGAGTTTTACACCCATAACATAATACAGACCAAAGAAAATACTCTCTAAAAAAGAACAGTTAGTTCCCAACAAGACAGTATAACATCTTATATATTGTAATAAGGATGTTTCAGCTACGTCTCTTTTCAATCAAATTGCAGCTATATATATATACACCACATCTAATGGTCCAGACGATTGGTCCATTACTCAGTAATCAATATATTTTGAAGACTGGTTGATTGGATAAAAAATGGTCGATTGGTCCCAAAAACTTAAATAATCTGCAGTAACATCGATCATTAATTATCGAAATAGATTTACCATAGCCGTGGAGCATTAAATGTAATGTACCATTAATTACCATTATATTAGATAAGTAACTATCCAAACATAATCTGCACAGGGTCTGAATTGGTGGTTTTGACAATAAACTGCCATACGTTTTCTCCTTAAATTGTTAGATACGTGTGTCTCAGTTTATAACCAATCTGATGATACTTTCTTTAAAGGGATGGAGAAATGGAGATATATACAGCTGAAACAATGTAGCAAAACTAGCATCTGATTCTCATGGATGGATCCTCATCAGGTCCGAGGAACGAGGCATGGTGTAAATTTGAAGATGACCTTTTCAAAACATGCATGCAAATTTATTTGGAGGGAAAAGGCACCTTGTATATCATGGAGGACTTAGGTGTAACACTGTAAGTGTTTTTTCTTTTAACAAAAAACTGTAGTAGTACTTTTTTGTTTTAATCAACTATTTTTCTTTTCTTTTTTTGTGTACGATTGTCTGCATAATTTTACTTCAGAATTGATCTTGTTATTTGATTTTAACAAGGTATCCTTGTTAGATCCCGTGATGTTTAGATTTGGTGAATCCTTTGAGGTCTTCTACCTTCATATTTCAAACCAGTATATATACCTTAAGATGCATTTTCCTTTGAAAATTTTGACTATATCATCTGTACTATAAAATACATATATATGTTAGTTATTTAATATAACATGTTCATCTAATAAATTGAAATTATGAAATGAATGAAAATTTAAAGGGGTCTAAATAAAACTTAGAAACACTGAAATTCATTATGTTTTCTATTATTGTTTCCTCCTGCATCCAAATGTAAATCTGAACCTTCTTTAGTTTTGATAAATATGAAAGACGAAACAACGTAAATACTTTCCAATATTCAGTATTATACCATTCTACTTTCATAACAAAATAAGAGACACGAACTTTCTACAACACTCCAAACAAATTATAGTAATAATAAACCTAAAATAACATCTCCTTGAAACATTAACAAACTATTCTGTTATATCCTGGAACTGGTTTTTCTTAACAGCTTTATAAGTTTATTTTATATGGGTTTGAATATTGTTGGGACTCAATTCTTGGAACAAAATAATTATGGAAAGAACATAGAATCTGTATAAAACTAAATAAATATGGGAGTACTTAAGTATTTAATTTGGACACGACATAATGTCTTTACATTTAAACATGTACTATAACTTTGAAACTTATATGTATATTGATGTTGTTTTTGGAAAGGACATTTATAGGCACAACGGCTATGCTAATTAGTAGGGTGTGAGACAATTTTGGACAAGAGAAACATTTAAAACTTATATTGAAAAGAAAGTAAAAACAAAAATTAAAATCTTTTTTTAGAAGTAAATTCTTTCTTCATTTATTTTTCACTTTTACTTGAACCTAAAATTAAAATAATTATATTTTATACAAATTTCTTTTCTTTTTATTTTCTTTTCTCTTGTGTCTAAACATAAAATAAAAATAATAATTAAAGTCATTAAAAAATATCCGTGCTAAAAGACTTACCCAATGAAATTTTCTAAGACATGTAACTATGAAGTTACTATGTCTACAATAAGCAGTGTTAAATGTTCATTTCCTTCTTCAAAACCAGTTTACACTAAGTACAATATTTATTTTTGGATTAAATTTGTATACGTGTAATGTAATGTCAAATATATCAACAAACACAAAAAAAGAAGATAGCTAAAAAGGGAGTTGGTTCTGTAAGATCGTACAATAGCTTGTATATATAGTTTTACAATTTCGATCTTCTTTGTCCACGTTACTTTTCCTCCTAATCGCAATTATCCACAACATCCAATATCCATGACAATCGTATAATTAATCATCAGATTAGATAAAAAAAATTTGAAGATGAGTCAATTGGGTTTAAAATTAACAATGCTACCAGACATTGGTGAATTAAAAAAATTAAATGATAAAATTGATGATTATCCCAAAGTATAAATTTACCATACATTTGAAGCATTAAATGCAATGTACGTATTTTACTAGAGAGAAAACTCCCTAATGTGGGTGTGGGGTTTGGTGGTTTTGAGACTAGGCTAGTGTACGTTTTCGCCACAATAGCCATAAATTGTTAGATACGTGTGTCTCAATAAATATCTTATCTAGTGGTGCGTACTTTAAATAGGTGAAGGAATTGAAATATATTGAACTGAACAAATTATATAGGGAAACTAAGCCGAGTTATAATTAATTTTGGTTTATAGTGCTAGCCATGGAAGAATTATCAGGTGTGAGAAAAGGAGTGGAGTAAATTTGAAGATGAACTTCTCAAAGCATGTGTTCATGTTTACGGGGAAGGACAATGGCACCTTGTTCCTCAGAGAGCAGGTGCACTTGTATTTATTTCTTTATTTTATCTTTTTGTTCATTGCTTATGGCTGACAATGATCTAATTATATATAACTGAGACATCCTCGTAAAAGTTGCAAATTAACATTTTTGATTTCATGAATCAAATGTTGCTGTGTTTAGGGTTGAAGAGATGCAGGAAGAGTTGTCGATTGAGATGGCTAAACTATTTGAAACCAAATATCAAGCGAGGAGATTTTAGTGAAGATGAGGTTGATTTGATGATCAAATTGCATAAACTTTTGGGAAACAGGTTTGTTAGAAAAATGACATATATTTGATATGTGAAATATATGCATAAATCGTTTATTCAGAAAGCAAGTTTCTTTTTGAGATTGTGTTGAAAAAGTAAATTTTGTATATGATGCTGTAAAGGAGTTATTCAGATATTCAAAGAAGATTTTTAAGATATACCAAGATATTCTGAAACACACTGTTCTAAACACACCTATTTAATAATTATTTATGAGAATTTAATAAATTTCAATCGAACTATATGAAATGTATGTTAAAAGAATGTAATAAAAATTATGTTGGTAGCACTATTGTTTTTACACATTAATTTGACAATGACAGCATAAAGGTTGTGTCCGTTGTTATTTAATTAGATTGCTATATATGGCAGCCTGTAGAGTTACGTAGGAATTATGTATTTTAAATGATAGAGTACGTATCAATACAGAAAGTGTTTGTTAATAATGCAGGTGGTCCCTGATTGCAGGAAGACTTCCAGGAAGAACTTCAAACGACGTGAAGAATTACTGGAACACCTACACACGACGTAAATCACACTCTCAAAACAAACAAAACAACGTAAAACAGAAGGATGAGACAGAATCAACACTGAAATGTCATCAAGTTGTAAAGCCTGTGCCTCTAGCTTTATCAAAGACTTGTTGTCCCAAGTTGCTGCAAGAGAAATTTATAAATAATTCAAAAGTTGGTGTATTTGAAGAAGGTACAAGTTCTTTATCTGGGTCTGAGAATCGATTTGAAACTTTGTTAGATGAGAAGGGAAAGAATATTACAGTTAACAACAAGACATGCTTCTTTGCAGAAAAAGATGGAGTGTTTGAACAGTGGGATGAAGACCTTAGTTCAATTGCTTCTCACTTTCTTACAGAATGTGAAACTTGGACCGATATGTTTCTTGACCTGGGAATTAATTAGTATATATATATATATATATATATATATATATATATATGTATATGTGTATATATCTATATTTGTGTATATGTGTGTGTGAGTGTGTGGTGGCATAAGAAAGGAATATTGAGTTCTTCTAATACTCATAATGTATATGTATGATCTGTTATATAGAATGTAAAAAAAGTTATCTTGCTTTAATTATATTTAATTACACTTTATAAGGTCAACCAAACAGTATTTGCCTCCTCCAGATTACTTTAGCCTTTAGAAGAAACATTAATTGATAAAAGTCCAAAGTTTGAAATAAATTTCTCATAAGCAAAACGAGTTAGCCTCCCGGTCCGGCCTCATTTATTATCGATTCATTTAATGAATTAATTTAACTTGATTCACTTATTATTTTTAATTTATTTAAAAATTTGTTTCTTTTTTCATTTTAAACAATAAATAAATATTCATTCACACTAAATTCTAATTCTAATTAAAATATAAATAATTTAAAAATGAATTAAAAATATTTATCTTAAAATTTAAATTTTAATATAATCCAAAATCATGTTATAAAAGTACAATATCATATTACTCTTCTAATAGAATCCAAAATTAAAGAAAAAATGAGGTTAAAATTGTGCATTGCACCTCGTATCTCTAATGGCAACAAAGTTAAAAGTTTAATAAATAAACTTTCAAAATCACCGCATAATGGTTAATAAATATATCTATTAGACAAATGAATGTCACAAAATCGCAGTAGATGATTTACATACAAACTGCAATATTGACAACAATCAACCGAACAACCAAGTACCTTGAAATAATAGAGAATAAAGAGTTTTGAAGCTTAACTATAAAACAAACATAATTTTCATTTAAAAAATAATTTATATCTTGAAAATGATGGGAGGTGCAGGAAGTAAAAATATAGGTGTAGAAGAACAACCAACTAACAGTGATGTATTTTTTTAAGTTTAATATGACTTTTGATTTTTATTTTTGTCAATTTTGTTCAATGTGACTTTTTTTTTCTGAGTGTTTAATGTGGTTCTGATTTTCATAATTTATATTCAATTTGACAATTTTTTATAATGTCATCTAAATTGTTAACAACAAAGCATACACGTAAGTCATGTTTGAATGAGCTGTTGGATTGTTGTTTACATGGTCGTCCTGCAGAGTTGTTTACGTGGTCATGCAATGCTACTTTGTTCCTTCACCACCATGATGCAACCACCATTGGAGCCACCACTAGACCAACTTCGTTCCTCCATAATCGTATCTTTGTTGCCTCCGCTTCCTTATCATCTCCTTCATACCCCTCTCTTGTTCCTGAGTCCCCCTTTCCTAGGCCACCCCAACCGAATCACCACACCAAAGACCCCTTGATTTTTCTCAATAAAAGATTTCTACTTTAAACGAAAGCCAAGATGAAAGATTATGGAAAATGCTATGGTAATAACTTGAAGCTAAAATTGCAACGTGAAATCAAGTCGTTTGGCACTGTAACACCGTGTTTTTCAAGTTTGAATGAAAGGTTTAGAATCCATATTTCCCAATTGCAAACCCCAAAATCACTCCCAAAATTAGGGCTTTTGTAATTGTGGGATCATGGTTTGTGCTTGTGGTTTTTCAAGTCTCTCTTTTGATTCAAAGGAATTAAGTCCATACATATTTTTGTTTTCATCTTTTTGGTTTTATTTGTTAGGATTTATAGTTGGCGATGTGCGTGGTGAACGAACATGGTGGCGTAATTTGGGTCTGGTTTAGCTATAGGTTTCGCAAGATGGTAACGTTGGTGACATGATTTAGGTTTGGTTTTACTGTAGGTTTCACGTGAACGAAGATGGTCATGATGGTGGCACCATTTGGGTATGGTTTTTTTAGAGGTTTCACGTGAACAAAGATGGTGACGATGGTAGCATGATCTGGGTCTGGTTTTTCTGTAGGTTTCACGTGAACGAAGATGGTGATAGTGGTGGTGTCGTGGCTACTGTGTCTTGAAGAGATGGTTGAACAGACACTCCAATTTGTCATGGTTGGTGTTGGCGCAACAACGTGTAGGAGACCATGATGGCTACCTAAGGATTTTTGGTGTGTTGGGAAGAAGGTGAGATGACGTGGCAGGCCACGTCACAAAAAATGGAACACGTCATTCATTCATTGCTCATGTGTACACTCTATCATTAATGATTTAGATGACGTCATTAAAAATGACCAAATTGAACATAAATTAAAAATCACACAAATCCAAACAACATTCAAATTCATTTCAAACCTCAAACTATACAATTTCATTCAGACATACACACTAAACAAATTTCATCAATATGCAAAAACATCAGATTTGTCAAACTCATACACATTAAAGCAACTAACTTCCTTGAAAGGCAATCAAATAGCTTGATGACCCCTTAAGACACCCTTATATGCACAAGAAACTCAAATTATCCATATGAACAACACAAACACGATTAGGACACATCATTAGGATATCAACATATACTAGCAAAGAGAATTCAAACACTACATGCAAGTCAAAAAGGTTCACATGGTGAGAAATATCAAATAGACCAAGAAGGGACAAAAACCAACTTATCTTATTAAAGAAACTTATCGATTGATCTTAATGAACTCACCACAAGGATAAATCCTATGGTTTCTAATATCTAAAAAGATGAACGGACAATAAAAAATCTTAAAGAGAAAAAAAAAAGTTTTAAGAAAAGGTTCTAGAAAAAAAATGTGTACTTTTAAATAATAAAATTCATTTATAAAAATTTTATTTATACTTTAAATTTTTATTATTAAAATAATCGAGTCTTATCGTTTTAAATACACGGTCAATTATAAAACATTATTTTTTAACCTCATACAATATTTAGTTTAAAGTTTAATTTATTTATATGCTAATTTTTATATTAAACTAATATATAATTTCATATTTACTTTTAAAAATATCTTTTATAAAAATTTAATTAAATAACAAAAATAGAATATTATAGGATAAAACATTTTTTTATCAGCTTCTACATAAACAAAGAAAATATTTATTTATTTGATTATATATTTATTAATAACAATAAATACATTTTTTTATCACCTTCTCCATAAGCAAAGAAAATATTCATTTATTTGATTAGATATTTATTAATAACATTAAATACTACATTAAATACACACATATATTTGTTCTAAAGATGGATATAAAATTTTAAAATTTTTAAAACCTTAATTAACTAACATAATCGTGTCGTACTTAAATAAGCAAAAAATATAATTTATAGAAATATTACCTTTGTGTATCTTTTCTAAAAATTTACTTGTTTATCAACATATTTATAATTTTTTTATGTATTTTATTTTTAAAATATACTTTGTAAACCATTTTTTATATAATCTTAATTAATCAATACAAATGTGTCCGATAATTTTTTTTAATTTATATTGCTGTATAAATGTCCATGATGTGACTTTCGAATATTTTGTAATGAATCATTACTTCCAAGATCCTTTATACTGTTGAAACTACGTCCGATTGATTGATATGTTCTACATTAACTAACAGTAGTGTTAACATTACAAGGAGTAGTTTTAGAATTAAATAGATTTAGTATTAAAGTTTCAGAAGCACGTTTGAATAATCACGTTGATGCGAACACGTTTTCACAATTAGTGGACACGTCTTTATCAGACCCTTCTGTAAAGTAAACGCGTCGTTGCTCCAGTTTTAGAACAAACAACCCTTTCCTCTTTAGGTTGTGAACAGCCAAAACTTTGTTCCTTAGTGAACAATCACAACATGGTTTGTCTCACAACTAACACAAAAATCCAAACAAGTTATATTTTACATTGCATTCTGTAAAAAAAAAAAATCATTATGGGCACATCGTAAATTTAAAGATGAATCAAACATCAAAGGAATAACAGAAAATTTCAGAAAATGTGAATAGATAGATGGATTCGAAGTCAATTTTCTTCTTCAGTTTCTGAAGTGATATCAACAAATTTTCATCTGCCTTGACGTATTAATTAATGTATTCAAATTGTACACGCCGTGATTGTAGGACATAGCATTCAGATTCTTTCTTGTTCACATTGACACCTATATACATTCATTCAGACAAACCAAATATTTGTTCTTGATTTGAAATGGAATGACTGAATTAGTTAAGAAATTTGGAAGTATGCGGTATTCACGAATCACGATATTGAAAAAAATATATTTAAGTAGATAAGTGATATAACAACGACAAAAAAATCAAATAGACTTTTTTAATGATGAAATTCTACTTCCAAATAATTATATATTTAAGATTTGAATACACTAATTAATTTTAGCGTTATCGATGGGTGTCTCTCTATTATATTTCTTACCAACTTTCGCCTTTTTGTTTAATTTCTGAAGCCGTGGGACCTATTAAAAGGAAAGAATAAAGGTTGTATTTTTATCCAATTATGTTCATTGCAGCTCAAAGTGATGTTTCTCTGAGCTTCTTTACTTTTTGTTGATTTGGGAAGAACGGGAAGTTCCTCGGGAAAAAGGATGAAGTTTGGGAAAGAATTTGTCTCACAAATGGTGGCGGAATGGGAAGAAGCATACATGGATTACAACTCCCTGAAAGCCACTCTGAAACATATATCAAGGTTTAGGGAGTTAAACGAGTCAGCAGCAATGGCATCAACCCCAAAAGGATCACTGAAGAGAAGGTTAACCCTTTATAGAGCCTTTAGTGGTCTAACTGGTGGACAGAGAGGGTCCCCTAGGAAGAGTGAGGATGAAGTTATACTTGTTCGTGCTGAGGAGGGTGAAGGTTCAGAAGGGTTGTACCAGACCATGTTCCTCAAGCCTTCTGAAGAAGGGGCAGAGCAAGATCTTGTTTTTTTCAAGAAACTTGATCGTGAGTTTAACAAGGTCAATAACTTCTACAAGAAAATGGTGAATGAGATGGTTGAGGAGGCAGAGGAGTTAAGTAAGCAGATGAATGCTTTGATTGCTTTGAGAATAAAGGTCGATAAGGTGG